CCATTAGAAAATAATGGCACTGACAGCACGATCGGCGGTGGTGTGCGATTCCGTGACCACCCAGCCATCCGCTCGGTTTCATGCACGATGACCGGCAGTCACAGATCGCACACCACTGCCGATCGCGCTGGCAGTGCCATTATTTTCTAATGGCACCCCAGTCATGCCAGGCAGATTGCGCGTTTTCCTGCTGCAATACCGCCCTACCCGTGCGGTTGCACACGATTGCAGTTGAAAACACTGCGCGTTTATTCGCGTGGGGCTGGTTTTATTTTTTTTTGTTTTTATTTACTTTGTAAAAAATGTTCATTTGTTTTATTATTTTTACTTAATCGCCTTTTTATTTTTTACATTTTTATTTAGTTACATTTTTAATTAATATTTTTTACTTTTTCTTTTTAACTATTTAAAAAAAAAAACTTTTTATTGTATTGCTATCACACAGGGAATAATAATCCCCTGTGTAATAGCATTTGGAGGTGACAGGTACTCTTTATTGACCCTGTCACCTCCAACACAGGAGTTCTAGCATAGCACTGTTGCTAGAACTCCTGTGATAGGAACGAGCATCGGCCGCCGGGGGCAGAGCCTGGGGGAGGTGACAGAGCCTGTCACAGCTCCACCGTCCGGCTTCGTCACTGCTCCACGCCCCTCGCTCCATCACGGCTCCACGCCCCTCGCTCCGTCACGCCCTCTGCTCCGTCCCCATCTCATTCAACACTTCGTCCCCGCCCCCCTCGCTTGTAGCGCCGCTCTCGGCGCTCAAAGAAAGCCAGGGCTAAAACAGTGCAAAAACCACTTGCCCGGAACTACATGTCCCGGGTGTCGGGCGATACGAATTCCACACCCCTGCCTATATTTAAATGGCTCCCTGCTTTTTTGCCCCATAGACTTCATTGGAAATGGCCAAAAACACGCGACAGAAGCATGTTGCACATTTTCGTGAGTGTTTTTGCATGTTTATACGTGCGTTCTTCCATTGCCCACTATATTTTATGAGCTGCCAATCAAAACGCGCGTTTTCATGTACGCGCGTACAAATGTGCACACCGCGTAAATACCTGCATGCTGTTAACGTGCAAAAACGCTGTGAACCAGGCCTTAAAGAGTGCTGAACATGGTTCACTATGCCAGCTTTTTACTGGGCTTCTCTGCGTTTTTGCCAATGTACTTGGGAGGACAGTGGAAATTTCCTCACCCTTCTGGAGCCCGGTATTGGCAGCAAAGTCATTCTGCAATCTTGAAGTTATTTGGGGAACAGACTAAGTATGAGCTGGCATGTTTGCCGAATCCTGACTGAAAGATTGATCTGTTTGCTAGTACAGTTGGAATATTTCACTATTGACCATCGGCTTAGTACAGTAGGTGTGAATGACTGACACCTAATATTGCACTTAGTAGCTGACTCTCACAAAGTCTTTCTAAATCAATTTGTGATGTTCTTGTTTCTTATTGATGCGTCAGGGATACTGTTAGCCAAGCTGCATTCTTTGACATCCATTTTTGCCAAATTGGAATTTGCCGCCTTTGGTTGTGGGCTAGAATGCTTCTGACTGCCAAATGATACTGTGATATTACTAAATGAAAAACATAACTAGTTAAAGAGAAACAGAACTCTGGTAGCTGGGTCAGAAATAAGGCAGAAAGAAAAGAAGAAATAAGGTGGGAGGAAAGCTAAGGACTAGTCAACAGTATGGCCTGCGCTTTTCTGGTAGAGGCAGGGGTTTTTTCTTCCTTATGTCAGAGCCTCTAAGGCTGGGTTCACACCTGGGCATAGTTTTTTTCGCGTTTTTTAGCACGTTTTTCCGCTCCGTGAAACGCGCGTTTCACTGGCGGTATGATTTTTATTTGTCCTTATTTTCTCTATTTAAAATTTTTTTTTCACTTTCAAACTTCCCGCTGGCTCCGCCCTCTGCGACGAGGCCGCTCGCAAGGGATGGAACCCGGAAGTCGGCAGCTGCTGGAGGACACATAGAGGGGATCGCGGACAAGGTAAGACCTGTACGCTGTATTCCCGAATGTGGCTCGGGGTTACCGCTTTGTTAACCCCGATCCACACTCGGGAATACCAATAGAAACGCGCGGAAAAACGCCTCCAAAGAAGCTCCTGTACTTCTTTGGGTGTTTCTCAGCGCTGTAAAACGCCTAGGTGTGAACCAGGTATAGCAAGGAGAACAATGAGCAGTACAGTAGTGGTATTACCTAATATCAATCCAGATATCAGACTAGCAGTCATAGGCAGCAAAGCCTGAATGTGCCCACACACCTTACGATAATCGCGTGAAATCCCGCGATTGTACGATTATCCTAAGGTGTGTGGAAGCCATGCAACCTCTACTACTGTAAGGTCGCACGACTTTTATCTTACGAACATGTTCGAAAACCTGCCGAGAATCGTACGATTTTCGGCGGATGTGTAGCATGTTCGTAAGATAAAAGCTGGACGGGCCGGTGTGCGCTAGCGCAAACTGCCCGTTCGGCATTGCGGTCATTGGAAGTACGATCTGCCTGTCCAAGATAGGCAGATCGTACGTTTTTAAATTACCTTACAACCATTGTCTTGCGATGGTTGTAAGGTGTGTGCCCAGCCTTAAGGTGCCCACACACCTTACGATAATCGTATGATAATCGCGGGAAATCCCGCTATCGTACGATTATCGTAAGGTGTGTGGGAGCCGTGCGACCTCTGCTACTGTAAGGTTGCACGACTTTTACCTTAGGAACATGTTTGAAAACCAGCCGACCATCGTACGATGTTCGGCTGGTTTGTGGCATGTTCGCAAGATAAAAGCCACACGGGCTGGTGTGCGCAAGCACACACTGCCCGTTCGGCATTGCAGTCATCGGAAGCCCGCCCCTCAGCGGGGTGGGCTTGCGATCATTGCAAGTATGATCTACCTGTCCAAGATAGGCAGATCGTACGTTTTTTGAATGACCTTACAGCCATTGCAAGACAAAAGTCTTGCGATGGTTGTACGGTGTGTGCCCAGCATTAGATTGACTCTTCAGATATAGAGCCATGAGGCTGTGGGTATAGTCACATACCTGGAAGTGTATTGCTATTTTTCAGAAGGGATTCCAGATAAAACATACTGTAATTTTTCAGGGTACTACTTAGGCATAATTTAACGGCGGTGTCCCAACCTGGTTTGATGGGAGTGTTGGTATCCCAACCTGCTGTGTGAAGACTTCTACTTTAACCACACAAATTTCGTATCTGCCAAGGGTTTTTTAAGGCCTTGTTCACACCAAGCACGTTCCAGTAGCAGAGCAGTTACAGACCGGATCAAAACTGCGTCCAATGTATTCCAATGGAATTTTGGGCTCTAGTTCACATCTCAGCGTTCAGTTCCAGAGCATGTAAAAAAAACTGCAGCATGCCCTATTTTACCTGCTCTGGAACGCATGCAATCTCATAAAAAATGAATGCAAACGCCCTGGAAGGCACTGAAAGCCCATTTTAAACGGAAAAAAAAAAATTCAAAACAAGGCGCGGAACGCATACAAAACGCGACATAACCCACTGCACTGCATGTGCAGAAACTCATGCAGATCTGGTCTGCATTTGGGGTGAACAAGCCCTAAAAGTCAATTCCAAGGTTCTGATCATGTTTTATGTTACCCACATATCTAGCATGTAACATGCAGCCAATCTGCAGCGTTCCCCCCCCCCCCCACCTTCCCCCCTACTTTCGCTGCTTGCTTCCCGG